AGGATTTTCTCCCGGGTCGTGGGTGCGTTTACAAAGATATAAGTTCACATACACATGACACCCAAACCAACACAACAATCTATGACGTATACTCATACGGCAATATTAACTTAATTAATTTAAAATAACGACTTACTCATGTTGAGTAACTGAGAAAAGCTCTACTGGTTTCTAGCCACAACGGGACTTTTATTCAATCATGAGCACCGTGCGTAAACTGCCTCACGATAGATTTCATATGAAATATACAGGGTGTAAGTGGAACGCTCACGAAAATACTAACAAAACAAATGTTTTTACAATTTTAAACGTTTTTGTTTACGTGTTATTCGTAGAACCAGCCTTGAGTGGTTGATAACAACTATTATTATTTTATGGAAATCCATGTTACAGTTAATAGTCCATGTTATAGTTTTCATTCCGAATAATTCATAAAAGAAACATTAAAATCCTTACTTATATGAAAATAAATCTTGTTTTCGTTTACATCCCGTATTATTTTATTTTATTTTTTTTGGGACAAGCTCGCCACAGCTTCTCCAAATCGCTGCAACTCCTGTAAGCCAGGATCTACAGTAGATACAACCATGAATACACCAGAACACTGAAGTCCGGCGCGTCCCAGTGACATGAGTAACTGTCTTGGTCCCGGAGCAAAGTGAATCAGAGAAGAAAAAACAACGATAGATTCCACTTCCCTCAGTGAATTACTGCTTTCAGGCTTAATTTTCTCTGTCTCAGAGAAAATTAAGCCTGAAAGCACCAAACAGACACTGTACATCGGGGTGAAGCCCAGTCGCCAAGCACCGCGGAAATTTGACTAAAAACTAAATGGGTCCTATGTGTGAGCTTTTATACGTGCTTCCAATAATAGGTATGGCAAAAGCGCCTAAACGCACGGAAATTTGTTCTACATTCCACAAAGTCCCTATAATAAATTACATCTGACGAAACATCCTGTAATATCTTTTTTTACACTTTATAGGTCGACGTTTGACCACCATCTCGCCTGATGGTAAGCAATGATGTGGCTGACGATGGAGCATGCCTACCTATGAGCAACCTGTTCACTCGGGACTTGAAGACACCCAAGTCATATTTGACGGGAAACACAGCCTCTGGCAAGAAATTCCATTCCTTAGCGGTTCGCATGAGGAAGCTTGACGGGAAACGCTTCGTGCGAATGGGTGGAATGTCCACCATATAAGTGTGGCGCCCCGCCGTTCGTCTGGTGGTACGATGGTGAAATGGACAAGGGGGAATAAGTTTGTACAATTCCCACGCACACTCACCTAAGTGTATCCGATAGAAGACTTTGCGCCTGTGTTCGAGGCTTTGTAGCCGAGCCTATAATCAGCAGGAAGTCGTTCGTTGCTGAACAAAGGCTGTTACATCGAACGACAAGTCGCCACTGGCATCCATTGACTCCCCGTAAAAAGAAATTAACTCAGCTTTAATTAATAAGCATGTACTCTTTCTACCTTTTAATTTAAATACTGTTGTAGTAATACTACTTAACATGCACACGGTTTTTATTTCAATTAGCGACACATCGGTAGGGACCCAAGAGTAACGAGTTTAATGAAACAAATTGTTAGGCAGCTACTTTAACGATACATAATTACACCCATTGGTTCGTTAACGTAAATAAGATTATACGGTACATATTAATTAAGTTTTTTCAGTTATAGTTTTTCATGTATTATGTATTGTTGTCTTTGCCCATTCGTGCTGAAAAATAACTCTTCCACACTTGAATTATTTATTTATGTACACACATACAACATAAAGTACAACACATAACAATATAAAATTAAAGTACAAAGGTACCTATTCCTATTGGAATTTCTTCCTATGGACCTGCGGCAGAAAAAGTAATTAATATATGTATCTTAGTAACAAAACGCTTTTTACATACACTTCCAATTTATTGATTTTTGTATAATTATCTACTTTTCTTCAGAATACATAACATCACACCTTTTATCCCCAAAGGGTAGGCAGAGGTGCACATTACGGCACTTAATGATACTGTACAATGTAACACCCACTTTACACTATTTATGATATGAATCCCATGTAATAGGGGGTGAGCCTATTGCCATATACCGGGCACATTTCCAGACTCCGTGCTACTGCTGAGATTTTTTAAAATCTCAGTAATACTCCCGATTCCGGAATCGAACCCGAGACGCCGTTCTTGAACCACTCGGTCAACGAGGCAGTCCTCGTGATAATATAGTAATTTAATAATTTTACGAATGTTCATTGCTCGTTAGTGACACGCTTGAGTTGGCAACGTGCTCGATAGATGGCGTTGTATAATTTATTAGCAAAGCTGCAGCTGTAGCCAAATACCATTTAGCGCTTGTCTACTTGTAGAATAGAAAACCAAAATATATGGAATTGACGTAAATTTTGACACTTGTCAGTGTCATCCCCATACATTTAGTTTTCTACTCTCTCTGTAGACAAGCGCTAAAGTGGCGTTTGGCTAAAGGCACTGAATCGCGCTATGGTTTCGTTACACGCGTTTAGCTGGGGTGCTGAACTGGCGTAAGTATCACGTGGTACCACCGTTGGTGAATAATTTTGTAACAGAATGTTTAAGACAATATTCGTATATTTTTGAAGGACTTAGTATATACATAATAATATAGTCGGGAGACGAGTAACGCGTTTATTCAAACTATGAAATTTCAATGTTTTCTGTTCTGGGTCTGGGGTATGGGATTCGGTAAGATGTACTTTTAAATTTTAACTTTAACTGACTAGTGACTACGATGTACTAAAATTGGTATTTATTAGTACCATTTTAATAAGAGAGTAACATTTTAGTGATGATAAACCATTTGTTAGCATCTCATCAAAACGATGAACATTTCTATAAAATCTTTATTATTATAAGAATTTAAGTATCAGATTCGTTTAACTGTAACTAAAATCATAGTAATAAATGTTTCTATTCATTCTATCTGCTTCTAGTTAGATAGAAAATTATGATTGATTCGATGTAGGAGTTGTCTAGTCTTGCAATACCTAAGTACATATCATCAATCATAACGTTTGTTTGGCTTAGGAACACTATAATATCATTTGCCTATCTTTGTTACGAAGCAGAACTACAAAGGGTGATATAATATTAAAATGTATTAAATTGTTTCTTTTTTTATGGGATTTTTTTTAAGGTTGGAAAATCATCGTATGACTTCTGGAGTGTTCTTCGGGAGTGTTAGACTCTTATTGACTAAAAACCCCGTTCCTACTCCTGGACATATAGACGGAGCCCCGGTAACCTGTTATGTTCTCCGCAGCTTTGTATCGGCATCAGCCCTATTGTGCCCCATCTGTGGTAGTCTGATGGCTTTTTTATGGGATAAGCCGGTAAACGAGCAGACGGATCACCTGATGGTAAGCAATCGGCATCGCCCTTGGACACCTGGAACGTCAGAGGCGTTACAAGCGCGGTATCGCCGTTTTGGGGATTAGGAGTTTGAGGATTTTTGGGGATTCATGTATTGGAAAGATTGGGCTAAGGAGGGGGGGAGGGAAATTGGACTTCTTTGGAAACTATGCAATCGTGCATTGCTTTTGGTATTTAGTCAGATATTTAATCATTGGACCCACCCTCAATTCATTATATATTTTTAATGTATTAGTAAATTAGTTCAAACATGTTTTATATATATAGAAAGGTCATCAATAAAATAAATATTTTCTTTAAATAAAAGCTTTAATATTAATAAACGAATCAGTCTCATAGGAAATCAGTTGTGGATAGATTTTTGAGACCAATATAGTATCTAAAATTAGAAAGGCTAACAATCGTATTGAGGACACAATATTCTTTTTCCATTTCTTGTTATTCCCCAAAGGAGAGCGTATACAAAACTACACATCGAGTTAAACAATACCAGTGTATCATGATCTCGCTTTATATGCTCTTTTGGAACAATCGACGGTCAGTTTATACTGGTTACGCATAGTTTGATGTGTAATGTGAGCCATGTGTATAATGTACCTATAATCAACTAACTCTGGTAAAAATAAAAATTTATTCATTTCAATAAAAATGAACTCAATTTTTTGAAAATCTTATAAAAAATCAAGCCTTTTTTACTCCCGAAGGGGTAGGCAGAGCTACACATTACACTAGTTAATGCCACTGTAAAAAGTAACACCCACTTTTCACTATTTATATTAGAGTCCCATGTAATAGGGGGTGAGCCTGTTGCCATATACCGGGCACAATTCCAGGCTCCGTGCTACTTCGAAATTTTTTTTAAAATCCTAGTAATACTTTGCCCGACCCGGAAATCGAACCAGAGACCCTTGCTTGGCAGTCGCACTCGAAAAATCTTGAGTATTGTATTTAAAATAAGATTTAAGTATCGACAATGTAGGAACTATTAATCTTTGATAAAGAACCTCCTTAACTATGTGGCATCATAGGCTCACTGGTCACTGCAATTGATCTTCTTTTGTTACTTTACCAAATGAAAAAGAGTTTTTACAGATTAATGGTTTTAGTTACTTGAAAAAAATCTTGATCTAGCTAGTTGGAGCGACATAATCTTGAAATAGGCTGGCGGTGGTAAGGTGAAAAGAGCTGAAGATCAAGTCCTGTGGCGTAAGAGACGCGATAATAATGCATACCTACATAAATTAACCTTATTTAACGAGCGTTAGAGCTTTCCTAATTAATTTTTGTGAAAATAATACAACTATGTATACGTAAGTAATAAAATAGAAAAGCCTTTCTTTATTCACTACAAAAGTTAAGCGCTTTAGGGTTCCATGAGAAGATTTCTATTGACCAAAATTCCCATTAGGTGTTAAAAAAATGACAGTAATAAAGAGTAGGTAGGTATCTAAATGAAAAATTTGCTGCGATACATATCTTTTTTAAACTTTGCCCCACACTATGGTTTTCTCCTGTGTCGTGGGTACGTTTACAAACATACAAGTTCACATTCACATGACACCCAGACCCGAAACAATAATCTGTGGATCACACAAAGAGTTGCTCCGTGCGGGTATCGAACCCGCGACACGTAGCACGGCAGCCAGTTGCCCAACTACCGCACAAACCGTGCAGTCGTAGGTATATGTATTTCTTTTTAACGAAAAATGTAAAAAAATAAATTCCATAAACATAAAACAATATTAAAGACAAATATGATTTCACGATTTACACTTGACCAGTTTTAATTTAATAAATTTATTCGTTGCATAACAATAAGCCACTGAATTCTAAATTCAAATTGAATTAAAAATAAAAATGTTTCGAGCAATTGAAATAGATTTTATACCATTTAGATTTGAATTTATTGATGGTCTGTTGGAGTTCACTGGCCGTTAAAAGGATTCTATGTTTGAATGTGTTTTAATTCTAAACCATATTTTTAGCTCAATATTTTAGTTTTATTATATCGTTTAAACTTTTTATAATTTTATGTTTTATGTTTTAGTTGAAAAAAGTTTAATAATAAAATATTGTTTTACTGCAATAAAAATGGAACCTAAATAAAGTTTGACATTTATTTTGAAATACCACAATTCAAGTTTATTTGTTAAGAAATTGAATTACAGTTTTACCAAACTGCCATCTTTGAATATTCTTCGCCTTATAAACTAAAGAACAAAGCTTCACAAATAAAACGCAATTCATATAAAATTCAGCCAATGTTAACACAAGGCTCAGCTTTACATACAAAGGATTGGCGGCCTTATCGTGTGACGTCATCACTTCTTTTGTCAGATCAGATTTACAAGGCGTCTTAATTCTTATACATTTCGGGCCATATTGTTACGTTAAATCTAAGCTATGAATGTAGCAGAGTGACTTTGTATTTATTGTGTTCTGGAATGTTCTACAGAGGAAAGATGTATAGGTTCGAGGTAACGAACTTGACATATTGTATGTTAACTAGTATGAATACATAATATTTAAAATTCACGTGGTATAGTCAGTCATGCTTTGGTATGCATGTGCCGGCTCGACCGGGTTGATACTATGGCTTCACGGAAAACAGCTGTGAAACAATTTTTACGTTGTGTTTTATCATGACAGTGAGATAACTGGAAGCTTAAGTTCTCCCTATAGCCTGTAAACTGGCAATGCAACTCTTCTACTAGGTATTGCAGGTGACCTTGATCAGTTCCCATCAGGTGTCAACTTGCCCCATGGCTTGAAGCAATCACTAGAAGCATAAATTTGTGTAGAATATTGAACCGTAAGACCCAAACATTAACGTTTCTACGTTAAGAGATAGACGACAACACCCCGTGCCCTAACAACTCACCGGCCAGCCAATGTCAAAGTCAAAGTCAAAGCATTTATTTGAATTAAACCATAATTTGGTACTTTTAAAACGTCAACAAATACAAAATAAATAATAGTCTGTCAGTCAGTCCGATAGTGAAGCTAGGTGAAGCTAGGTGCTCATTCCAAAATGTAGATTCGAATGGAGAAGAACGAGCAAGAAACTCCATTCGTTACTCTTTTTACAAATTTGAACGACCTTTTCAAATTCTCTCTAACTAATTTCGTACATAACTCAATTGTTTAGATTCATTACAAAAACATGGTCGTGTGAATGGCAGATACTCATTATTTATTATTATAGTCCCTCCTACGTTTTAATTATACCTCTGTTTTATTTGAAAATCAATACCATTTGGTAGGTATTTATTACCTTTTATTACTGCGGTGCATGGCTTGCGAACTGTTTTCGGATTTATGTGGTTTATTTATTTAGGTTTTAGTGCATCGCATTATTGGATTATTGCTGCTATCAATTTAATATTAAATTCGAATGTGGTGACGTAATGGTCTGTCATAGGCTGGGCTCCTTTACACCTTTAGGCCCGGTATCCACCAAAGCGGAGAGGAGAGGAGACGACAAGAGATGTGTTTGAATAAACAAATCCGATTTCGTTATTTCCACAGCTCACATCTCTGTTACACGCAGCTCACATCTCCTCTCGGCAACGCATCTCTTCTCCGCTTTGGTGGAAATAACCTGGCAGCTTCGCGGCGCATCTCCTCTCGTCTCCTCTCCTCTCTGCTTTGGTGGATACCGGGCCTTACACTTGATATTCCCATTATCTTCATGCCCGGTATGTGGGTTGTCAATCACAGTTTATAAAGTTCAAGTTTATCAGAGAGCGTTGCTGATAGGCCTCCGTCTCATGTGTCTCTTAGTCGGATCCTATGATACTCATACGGTATGATATCATACACAGACGGTGACAAATGTGTTCTACTCCGCTTTCACGACACGGCATTTAAAAACATTTTTTTTATTTAATTAAATTACACATTTATTTACGTTATGTATTAGGTATCACTGTCACTGTCTGTGTCACTGTCTCGTTGGCCGATAGGTCACAAATGTGATATCTGCAGAAGGGATCTAAAGTTCGATTTCCGGTTCGAGCAAAGGATTATAGGGTTTTAAGAAAAATCTCAGTATTAGCACGGAGTATAGCATCGTGTCCGGTATATGGTAACAGGCTCACCTCCTATTACATGGGAGTCATAACATAAATAGTGAAAAGTGTGTGTTACATTGTACAGTGGCATTAAGTGACATAATGCGCTCCTCTGTTTACACCTTCGGGTATAAAAGGCGTGATGTTATATAATGGATTATAGGAGATACAATAAAAGTTTTGAATGAAGTCCAAAGTAGAAAAAACTAAATCCTACTTAGGCTTAAAAAAAGTGATTGAGACTACATCAAAAAACTAAATAACTTCACTTTTTACGTCATTTCTATAAAATGGTGCACACAATCCTTTGTTGGGTATCCTAAACAAATATCTTCGATGTTGAACACGTCACTAGCAGACGCAAAGAAAATGGAGATGTCATTTTGCGGTCTCTTTGCGTAATAAATTCCCGTTTCGCGCCAATACTAGTTTAGACGGATTTAATATTGAAAATTGAATTGAATTTTTATTTTTATTCTATGCTCTTTCTTCTTTATGCCACGGTCTGTCAGTTGATTATAGTTCTGCTCTTTTGCCCGGATTGTGGTGAAAGAAAATGATTGAAAATATTTGTCGTTAATCATTTCAAGTTGAAAAGGATGGTCTAGTTGAGAGCTTTATTAAATTAAGTAGTCTAGACAATATGGTTTACTCTTGTTCAGGGAGGGTTCCTTGAAACTGTTTGAGTATCTTCTACAGACCTTACCATCAGGTGAGTTAGTAGTCAAATGTAGGTACAGCAAATAATTCTTGTACCATCAGGGTGCCATCTGAAAATCAGCGTTGGGCATGTACGCTCAACTTAATGCTGAGTTGGAGGCCCTTTTGGCAAGGGCACGCACCGTTAAATGTTATTTATGTATTTATTTATATTATGTTTTTATTAATTTTTAATTATTGTGTTAGTATTCTATTGTCACTGAGTTGTTATACGTTGTCGTATCTTTGTGTTTTTTTTTCTATATCTGTATAAATAAGTGTATTTATTTGTTCTTTTCTTTTTTTAATTTTGTATTTTTTGTATCTGTGTGCGTGCCTACTGTTGAATAAATGTTTATTCTTTCTTTCTTTCTTGTATAAAATATGTTTAAAAAAAACAACTACAATCCCCGCTTTTTAGAAGTCGGTTAGTTAATAATACCTTCTGTTAAGTGTAATAAACACTTTTCTGAAAACCACATCAAAATCGGTTTGGCCAATCGCGAGGTAATTGCGTACAAACATACATACATACATACATCACACATACAGGTCCAAGAGAGAAACTCCTTCTTTTTGAAATCATTTACATACATACATAACTTCACGCCTGTCTCCCATGGGGGTAGGCAGAGACTAAGGAACGCCAATTACTACGATTCTTACATACCTTTTTTGCTTCATTAACAGTCATCAATCTTTTCATGCATGCTCGTCGGTTAAGGGTACTAGTAATTTAAAAAAACATTATTAGAATACACGTGTTCTTATAAAGAAGTCGACGAATAAAATAGGCTAACAACAACAATATACTAACTTGATTTCCTACTTTTATGCTCCGATTAATAACAAAGAGCTCTTATTTATATTACCGTAAGAATAACCGCCTGAGGCAGACATAGAATGAGGTCCGTAGCAAACTCAGGAACATTATTACAATCATTCATCTTTAAGCCACAATGTTCGAAAAACCTTTAACTTTCTCCTACAACACGTAATTAACCGTTGAAGTTTCAATATATTAGAATGAAACTTCAGAACTTGCCAACCGCAAAATGTTTACGAAAATTCGTGTACAGATTATGATCATCCAATCGTACTTGACCCTTGAAATTTAACATGGAATGAGTAAACAGGGTTCATGTTCCCTGGACATGTTAGACAGGTACTTATTCACACGTGTTGTTGTAGGTTTTAGAAATTGTTCTTGTACTTTCATGATAAGTTTTTACACGCGAATCTGAATGTAGTTGTTAGTGAAATGGGATGATAAGTATCAATTTCTTTAGTAGGAACTTTGACAGGCAATGTATAGTGATTGGTATGTTTATTATTACCATTCTCTATGGGATTACTTATTAAGCTAGTAGGGGTAACTTTGATGGTCCACAAGACTAACAAATGGCTGAGGAAATAAAGTAAGGTATTTGATATAGTCAAACAAAGTGGTCGCAAGTGCAAGGGGTCTCGGGTTCGATTCCCGGGTCGGGCAAAGTATTACTAGTATTATTTTTTTTAAATCTGAGCACGGAGTCTGAAATTGCGCCCGGTATATGGCAAAAAACTCACTCTCTATTACATGGGCCTCATAACATAAATAGTAAAAAGTGAGTATTACATTGTACAGTTGTATAATGTGTACCTCTGCCTACCCCTACGGGGATGAAAGGCGTGATGTTATGTTATGTAGCCCGCAAACACAACTCGTGGTGTAAGGATCTGCTAGAGTGAAGAATGTGGTAACACAGACGACCTGTTGGTAGACCGCAGATAAGATGGAAAGATGATATCAAAGAGGTGTCGGAACAAAATTGAATACTTAGTTTTGTTTTGGGATGTTCCCAAACAGAACTTAGTGGAAAGATTTGAAGGAGGCTTACACCAAATTGGTTGAAAAAGGCTTGAGAT